GACTTTTCCATTGAATTTCACATAGCCTTGCTTTCCCAAAAGTTGTTCTCATCTTGGGTGGACTGCAGTTAGGGTTACTGCTACAAGCAGTATTCACCTGAGATGTGTTCAGCGTATGGTTAGATTTTCCCACAATCAGGTGAGTAGTCCTTTAATTTACATTAAATTTCGCATAGTCTTGCTGCCCAAAATGCATTCTCGTCAAGATAGAAGTGGACAGCAGTTTCGACCCCATCTGATCTGGTCTCATCAGCACCCCCAGCGGGACTCGAACCATGGCAGTGCAGCGCATAATCTCGACGCCTTAGCCACTACGCCACTTTATCACGAGTACCCTTGGGAGACAGGGCAGATGCGAATTACAATTTCACATTCTGTGGTGGAAGTGCCGATTAATCAAAGTTATATTCGCTACAGTAATCAACTAAATTACTTATGGAAGTTGTTTCACCTTGTTTTCGCAACTTGATCATAATGGTAGGAATACTTATAGAAACGCACCTTGTCCTCAGTCCATTTTATGCATGATCATTTCCAAAGTCTGACCGTAAACGTGGTACATTCCCAGACGCTTCGGCAGCATCGTCAGTGAGTCTCGCCATTCTTAGCACCACACAACACTCGTCAAATAATGACTGAAGCTGATCCTTTGACCAAACGTGTGCTAAACAGTTATGGTATCTCACCTTCTGCCCTGGCCTATTCACATTTCCTATATCCTCCTATCATGCCTTCCCTGTCACCGTTTTTTACCGTGCTTATTCCTAATGTAGTGTCGTGTGCCCCTTCGAGCGGCAATCAATCTATGGAAGTAAGATTGCCAAAGAAGGCACTAATTACGGCCGAACAAAGAAGACAATTGTAAGTCAATCCTGCGATTTGGCCTTTTTGAATTGTTGCTAACATTATGGTATTGCTCTCCGATTCTGCAATTTAATGGAGAAGTATCATTCGGACACAGTCAATGAAATACTTTATTACGCCTCCAGTAAGAAATTAGAAGAAGGTTACGG